TACACACCTTGCCTGGCATTGATTGGGGCAGTTGGCTCAACTTTTGAAACTAATTGCTAACTGGACCCAACGAAGGACTTTGAATCAGAGAATTGAGTACCAGTTTATATGATAACCCATCATCCATGCAGAAGGCTTAGCTTTAGGACTTGATTTCTTGTTGTGATCCTGTGGTGAGATGTTATTAAGAGAAATAGTCTCTCCTAAAGGAGAAGCTGATTTAAACCCCCTCTTGCACTGAGGGGAAAAGCTTGACATACTGTCCATGTTTAAAGGTACATTTCAACAGTGAGTAGAACACACTCTGAAAATGTAAGCAAACAATATGCTGTTTAAAAATACAGCTGCAAAATATTTCACTTTTTTTTTTAAATAAAGAAAGCAAGTTCCCAAGGATCAATGTGAGATAAAAGAGAAAGACACACAGGGGACATCAGAGTTTGCCAGGAGGAGAAGTGGGGAAGGCAGCAACACTTTCTGCTGTGGGGTGTGTTAGTCTGATGAGTTGCTGTCCAGGGAAGCAGTAATAACTTGGGTCTCATTGCAAGCTAGGCTGGACTAACACTAAATGATGGTGCTGCTTTGAGGAAGACGCTTTTCTATCCCCACTGGGCCCCTCAGTGGCAGCTTCAATAAGAGGAGAAAAGGTAAAAGGATGAATTCCCTTGCCTGGCACAAAACACAGTCATGGGGTTCACTCAGCTTCTGGGTGCAGACAGAGCCAAGGTCTCTGCCCTTTCTCTGCCTCAGCTGGGTCTTATCCAGAAGCTCCGTGACCATCTTAGTACGGCATGGTCAACAAGCTGTTGTGAGTCAAGGTACATTAGTTTTAGCCTCTGGTGATCTTGGAGGCGGTGGGACACAGCTCATCTGGCCTTTGCAGTGTCCCTCCTTTGGAGATGGAGAGCTCACATCCTTTGCTATTAATTCTGCTATGCCTTTTGCCGCTATCAAATCTGGGTTTCTGCAGTTGTATGGTGGCCTGCCAGGCTGTTGCCCTAATTTTGCTTTTCCCCTTTGTATCCCATATGCAGAGAAGCAGAGGGAGCTGGCTCGGAAAGGCTCCCTGAAGAACGGCAACATGGGAAGCCCAGTTAATCAGCAGCCCAAGAAGAACAACGTGATGGCACGAACAAGGTAAAGGGCTGGAAAAGCACTCAGCTGTGCTCTGAGCTGCAATCCCTAATGGCCGTAGGATGGGCAAGGACGACGTTTGTTGCCACTCACCTACTGCCAAACACACTGCAGTAGAGGTCATGTCCCTTCCCGGAGCTGGCAGGCCTAAATGCTCTGTGCTGTGTTGTATCCCATCCCCTGGGGGGATGCAAGGACAGCTGAGCCCAGGACTGGTGATAGTGCAGCCTTGCAGGAGGCAGAAGCAGCCCAGCGTGGTCAAAATCAGGGGTTTGAGGTGGCTGTCTTGCATGTTCTGGGTAGCCTCATGTAACACATAATCCTGCCAGCGGGAGAGGTACGGTGCTGCTTCATGTAATGCAGACTGGTCTAGAGCTTAGTTCTGCCTTGGCTGCTTTTATCGCAGTAGGTCCCCTGCTCCTTTTTGATGATGACCCCTTCCCCATACTGATTGACTTAAAGAGCGCTTGTAAATAATCCCTCTTTTTGTGCTTTGCTATACACCTCCTCCGCACTTTGAACAGCATGGTCATACTTTGCTGGAGCTGCTTTGGCACATCTCTGTATGGCAGAGTATCAGACAGTGCTACAGACTGCTGTAATCAAAGATGTTCCTGGCTGAATACTTTCTTTTAGAGTATTTCTGTCTTTTCCATGCAACCTTCAGCATACCAATGTATTGTTTACCTGCATTCAGGAGGCAGGAACTCCCCTGAGCCCAAGGGATTGCTCGCTTTGCGTGCTACTAGAAAGGTGGCAGTTTTCAGTGGAGGACCTCACTTAAAATGGCAGAAGAATCTGTGTGAATGCTGGGTGTTCACTGATGGATGGGAAAGTTGCATGGATTACCATACATTAAGTAGAACAGGAGCTGCAGGTCAGAGCCTCTCTGTATGCAACACATCCAACAGATGAGGTTCCTTGTTCACATTAATTCTCAATACCCAAGTAAGTAGTCATAAATCATGCCAGGACTTTGGCAAGTTTTATGTGTAAGCCCCTGCAATGTTGGTGGAATATGCTGCATTGCTCCCTGCTCTGTGTTTGGTTGTTGAGACCATATAAAGGAGCCAGGCCCTTCATGGCAGCGAGAAATTCAGCAAATGCTCTCAGCTGGGTTTTCCACACCCATTGTTCCTCCTTGTCTTCCAAATACAAGCTGGAAAGACTTGGTTTCTTTTGGCAATGGGCTGCATGCCAGCTTCCCCAGAGGAATGGTAACAGATTTGCTGGTTGAGAGAGATAGAAACACTGAAATCGGTGGAGGAAGATGGTAAGGGAGAGAAGATGGGGTAAGTACAGGTGCCTACCTGTAAAATTAGTGACTTCTGCTTGGAGAGGTTGTTGTTTCCAAGCTGCTGATGGAAAGAAGAGTGATTTGAGTGGGGAAGAGCAGAGCAGTGACACCTATTGACAAAAACTTTCCAGCAGCCAGCTCAGTTTTATTCCTTTTGTGGACATCTGCGCACTGTTCAGAGGTCATGTGGACCCCTCCACAGCCAAGCACAGCCTGCTGGCAGTAGACTTGCTTTTCTTAGTTACTTTTCACACAGCTTTTAGAACCATCCGTTGGGATCTGCAAAACATAGGTTTCCAGCCACTGCTTTAGTAGCAGATGTAGCCAAGCTCCGTTGTTGCCATATGGCTGAGAGGTGTCTGGCACAAGGTCTCACCGGACCAAGTCCCTTCATCCCCCATCTCCCTTGGCTTTCTGGGAATCAAGCTGCACCACAGGCACAGTACTAATAATATGTCAGAATGCTTCAGTCTGTCTTGCTGCAGACAGGGCAACCCCAGGAAGGCAGAAATGCCACAAGCTTGTCCAAGCAGCTTCTTTTCACAGTATAATATGATGGTTGCAGTATAATGGGAGATACTCCAGTGGGATACACTGCAAAACATCCAGGTTATGGTTTAAGTCTGAACTGTTGGCCTCCTCTGGTCTCTGCAGGAGGAGAATAAGCTAAAACCATTTCCCCCTTTTTAACAGTTCTGCTGTTATCATCGAATATGTTTGCCTCCAATTCAGGCAAACCACACTGCCTCTCCTAGTCTCGTCTCTACCTCCTCCTCCTTCCCCAAGGCTTCTGTTCTGTATTATCTGCATGTATTTCTGACATCCAGCCTCTACTAGCAGGTTGCCTTCACCATTTGGTCTTCTCCTGGGGCAGGGGCACGGCCAACCTTAGAGGTGAAAGGATCTGGATCCATAACATGCTCAGTCTCCATAAGAGCAAATAAAATGTGAACAAGGTTGGAGTCACGCTGGCATGCTTGCTATGAGCACAGGCAGAGCCCACAATACCATCCGCACCTCTTGGGCACAGCCAGATATTGCAGTCCAGTCTGGGGATAACCTAAACTTGGATTTACGTCATAACATAGTTCATGTTAAGTGAGCAAAAACACCGACACAAGAAGTTTATATTGGGACAGCTGTGGGTGAAAGCAGCTACAACTGCTACTTGGCTTTTTTCCTAGGACAGTGGGAAGTGAAAATAAAGACAATCAGGATGTGAGGGAAAGACTTAGATCAGGGGCAGAGACATTATTACGGTTTTTGTCTGTTGCAGAAAATTTGAAGTTGTGTGTTATTAAGAAAGAAGACATTTCTCAAAAAAAAAAATCTAGTGTTTTTTTTTAATCAAGTAAATAGCACCACAAAGCATTCTTCTCTTAGATCCTCCAGTAGTGCTGTGCTCACTCATGATATAGTAACAACTGTCAGTGAATATATATGGAGTAGTTTCATGGAACTACAAGCCTGTCAGTCTGACCTCAGTGCCGGGGAAGGTTATGGAGCAGATCATCCCAAGTGCCATCATGCAGCACGTACAGGCCAACGAGCCCATCGGGCCCAGCCAGCATGGGTTTATGAAAGGCAGGTCCTGCTGGACCAACCTGATCTCCTTCCATGACAGGGTGACCCACTCAGTGGCTGAGGGAAAGGTGGTGGTTGTTGTCCACTGGGACTACAGTAAAGCTTCTGACACCATTTCCCTCAGCATTCTCCTGGAGAAACTGGCTGCCCATGGCCTGGGCAGGCATACTCTGTGCTGGGTAATAAACTGGTTGAGTGGCTGGGCCCAAAGGGTGGTGGTGAATGGAGTTAAATCCAGTTGGCAGTCAGTCACAAGCGGTGTTCCCCAGGGCTCAGTACTGGAGCCAGTTCTGTTCAACTTCTTTATCAAAGAGGGGATAGAGGGCACCCTCAGTACATTCACAGACAACACCAAGTTGGGCAGGATTGTTGATCTGGTTGAGCGTGGGAAGGCTCTACAGAGGGACCTGGACAGGCAGATTGATGGGCCGAGGCCAATTGTATGAGGTTCAACAAGGCCATGCAGTGCTACAGGCTTGGGGAAGGGTGGCTGGAAAGCTGCCTGGCAGAAAAGAACCTGGGGGTGTTGGTTGACAGGCTGGGTTCAGGGTTGGGCCCCTCACTCCCAGAAGGACATGGAGGGGCTGGAGCATGTCCAGAGAAGGACAACAAAGCTGATGAGGGGTCTGGAGGCCAAGGCTGATGGGGATCAGCTGGGGAAGCTGGGGGTGTTCAGCCTGGAGTAGAGGAGGCTGAGGGGAGACCTTATGGCTCCCTACAACTGCCTGACAGGAGGGGGCAGTGAGGTGGGGTTTGGTCTCTTCTGCCAAGTAACAGGGGATAGGACGAGGGGAAATGGCCTCAAATTGTGCCAGGTGAGGTTTAGATTGGATGTTAGGAAAGCTTTCTTCCCTGAAAGGGTTGTCAAGCATTGGACCAGGCTGCCCAGGGAAGTGGTGGAGTCCCCATCCCTGGAGGTATTTAAAAGATGGGTAGCTGCGGTGCTTAGGGACATGGTTTAGTGGTCAACTTGGTAGTGTTAGGTTAATGGTTGGACTGGGTGATCTTAGAGGTCTTTTCCAACCTAAATGATTCTATGATTCTGTAACTTGAAAACTGGAGAACAAGAATGGAAGTCAGTACTTCTGATATCTGTATGGTCAAGCTGCTGCTGCCAGATTACAGCTTCAGTTCCAGTTCTTTGCTTCTTGACTTCCTTCCTACTTGCTTCAGGAGCAGAAGGATCGTCCCAGTGCTATGAGAAGAGGTATTGAATTTTGCAAGTGGATCCCATTTTCTCCAGTTGCCTGCAGTTGGAAGTTCTGCATCAGTTTTAAAATTAATTTAAAATTAATTTATTTAATCTTGTATTTCAATTAATACAGTAAGAAAATACAGTTAGTCACAAACCTATATATCTGCTTTATGGTAACATTTGATACATTTTACTCTCCCTGAACCTGCCCATCTTCAGTGCCTGGCAGGCCTTTGTATTCCCATAATTGTAATGGCTTCCTGAAATTTTTCGAGCACAAACAGAAAAACATTTCAGGTAGTTAGAGAGCAGTTGGAGCATGGATGAGCTGAATTATGATCTTTAGATTTGTATTTCCCAAACTCTTAGCGAAGCATCATTGTGAGTCATTGTGTGTTGTTAAAGACCAGTTCTCCATTTGGGAGAGAACCTGAGTTAACCCACTGAATGAGGAGATTTTCATCACTCTTACAGTTCTTAGCCGCTGAACATAGAATCTTATTCCATTTGCTCAGTTCGGTTGATTTTAAATAGGAACCAAAGTCTTTGCACAGTTTTGTGGATGGAAGACCTCTGTTGTGAACTAGATGCCATTGTATTAATGCATTTTCCTTACCCTAGAAGCTCTGAAGCCTGTATTTAATTTCACAAACTCGCTCAGGCAATTAAAGGTGCAAAGTCATCATCAGCCTTCATCAGTAACGTTTCTGGTGACATGAAAGTCATTATAAAATAAAGGGATTTTAAAAGTGCTAGTCTGACTGGACTGTTACTCTGCACACACCAGCTCATATTTCTCATCTTACTAAATTTAGGACTGAGAGCTCGGAAGTGTTCTGTTGGGGGAGGCTGGGTAGGGACTCAGGCAGTAAGAGCTCATCCCTGATTTCCAATAGTAGAATAGTAGGAGCACTAAGCTTCTGCCTTCCCCTAGCCTCCTTCTCCTGTTTACTTCCTGCTAGTGTCATGTACTCATTGCTAGGAAAAAAAAAGCAACACAAAAATGAGCAATCTGATACAACAAGCAGTACAGGTTCACCAGAGTGAAGCCCAGAGTGTCCCAATGTTTTTTTCTTCCAGGGAGGAGCACGTTCCCAAGGTATGTCGAGCGTTCATCCCTGGGAAACTGCTCTAAGCTTCCCAGAGACAGCTCGCGTCCTCTGAATTGTACCCATTTAAACATCTTCACCAATAAGGGAGGGCTTGCAAGGAAGTGAAACAGGGAAAGCCTAACTATCATATAGCTTTGCCCTGGACTACATGTGGTACTGAGCTTTACTGTGTGGTTAACAGACAACATTTAATTGTTTCAGGCTCGTCGTTCCCAATAAAGGCTATTCATCATTAGACCAGAGTCCAGATGAAAAGCCCCTGGTAGCCCTGGATACGGACAGGTATGCAAAGTGTTAATAAGATGATATACATTGTGGTGCAAGCAAGTTTTCATGCCAGAGTGCAGCGCTGAAGCTAACTCCTGCGGAAACGGCTCTTGCAGGCTTGCTGTGCCCTTTGGCATGTGCCGTAACTGGGGTCTGTGTGTGTCAACAAGTAGGAGACGTGAGTAAAGAGCACTGTGATGGAAAGGTCTGAGGGTCACAGATGGAAGTTGCTGTCCAGGCTCCCTTGATGTAACTTCTCTGTGCCTCAAGAACAGCAACAGCTTCACGGCACGAGAAAGAAGGGTTAACCAGGGAATACAGGTCTCTCTAACTGTTGTTTCCTTCTTTGCTATATGTTGTCCTTCCCTGCAGTGATGATGACTTTGACATGTCCAGATATTCCTCTTCGGGATACTCATCAGCTGAGGTGAGTTATACTCTCTCCTGCCATCCTTGCCATGAATGCTAATAGTAGAGCAGCCAGAAATGGCTTAGAGTGGCTTTGTACTGCCAGAAATGGCTACACAACGAATTTACCAGTGGTGTACACTCTGTGAGTCTGGAAGGGGCCATGGCAGAAACTGTGTCGTGTTTCTTTCTTCCCTGGTGATCCAGTTGGCTCCATCCCCACACTGCCATGGCACAGAGATCTGCCTGTCGGCTGTTTTCACAGCTACCTTTGGCTTCACTCGAGCTTTTCCCAGTTCTGCTTAGCCCTGCAGTGTTGGCCCATGTGGTGCAAAAGCATCAACTTGTCTGTCACGCCAGTTCAGCAACTGTATGCTTGCCAAGGACACAAATAAAGGATCTGAGGGTGTGCTGTGATTTCCAGTTCTTGGGGCTGTCAGGGTCACCCAGTGCGTGTTTACTTGGAGCAGGCAGAAATTCCAGGGAGGACTTGCAGATGTGAACTCTTGCCCTTTCAAAGAGAAGAGGCAGGAAGCTCAGGCTTGTTAATCCCTCTACATTGTTTCTGAATATATTCCCAAGCTGCCTCCTGAACTAGTTGCTCAGCCTCTGGCTACTGCTTCTGCAGGATCTGATTTTACATCCAGGGTGCTGAGCAGCCATTCTGCACACAAGCTGCTAGGAACTCTTCCCCCTTGTATCCCTCCCTTGGGCAGAATACATCTGAAACACAGAGAAGTGGACAAGAGCAAGGACCATATCAAATGGTTTGGGCTGTCTCTGGGCCCTGATGAAGTAAGTGCTGTTCACCCAGATCTGGTTAGACAGCACTTGGGTCTGAGATTACAAAGAGCCAAGAGGCTTTACCACCTTTCAACTGCTATAGTGTGCCCCAGACTGAGAGGAGGGACTGCCCAGCTCCCACTTGGTTTATTAACATTATTATTACATTACATTAAATGAGGGCTTGTCTTCACGGAAAGATTATTCCAGAATAAAATAGTTTATCAGCTTGCTACTCTGGAATATCTCACACTAGGTATTTCTGTTCTGGGAGATGCTAAAACAGAAGGCAGCCCTCACCTTAGTGGTCGAAAACTTTCATTAGTGGAGCAGCTGCTAATGATGGGGAAATATATTTGAGAATAAGGGACCTCCTTCATCTTCTGACCATCTGTCATGGTTTAACCCTGGCCAGCAGCTCAGCCCCACACAACCGCTTCCTCGTCCCCCCCCGGTGGGATGGGAGAGAGAATCAGAAGACTAAAAATGAGAAAACTCATGGGTTGAGGTAATGACAGTTTAACAGGGAAAGCAAAAGCGATGCTTGCAAGCAAAGCAGAACAAGGAGTTCATTCCTTCCTTCCCATCAGCAGGCAGGGGTTCAGCCATCCCCAGGAAAGCAGGGCTCCATCACACATGACAGTCCCTTGGGAAGACAAACGCCATCACTCCAAACATCCCCCCTTCCTTCTTCCCCCAGCTGTATATGCTGAGCATGACATCGTATGGTGTGGGCTATCCCTGGGATCAGTTGGGGTCAGCTGTCCTGGCCATGTCCCCTCCCAGCTTCCTGTGCTCCCCCAACCTCCTCACTGGTGGGGTGGGGTGAGGAGCAGAAAAGGCCTTGGCTTCTGTGTCAGCCCTGCTCAGCAGCAGTGAAAACATCCCTGGGTTATCAGCACTGTTTCCAGCACAGACCCAAAACATAGCCCCATACTGGCTACTGTGAAGAAAATTAACCACCCCCAAAACCAGCACACCATCAGAAGTAAGAAGTCTCAAGTGTTTGACTGTTTGTCTCTTTGTCTGTAGCAGATCAACCAAGACTTGAACATCCAGCTGCTAAAGGATGGGTACCGGTTAGATGAGATCCCAGATGATGAGGACCTCGACCTAATTCCCCCTAAATCGGTCAACCCTACCTGCATGTGTTGCCAAGCCACCTCCTCCACCGCCTGTCACATCCAGTAGTGAGGCCGGCAGGCTGTGATCAGTGCTTTCCACTATAACTGTAAAACTTAACAGCCATTGCTTCCTCCTATGGTAGGACGTGCACCTCTTTGTGTTCATGGAGCCAGGAGAAACCAAAAAATTCATTTTATGATTGGTTGATAAGTTATTTTAAACTATGGTTAAACAAAAGAGAACTTGCTCAAAGTGCCAGGCAGTGCCTGGCAGAGCTGACTGGTCTGGAGAGCAAATGCAGAGGGGTCCAGAGATACCTCCTTGGTTTGTGTAGGCACTGGGGATGTTGTAAAAGTGTCTATTCCAGAATGGGAAGGGTCAGATGGGGCTGCAGGTAATCCTGCCCACCAAAACCAATCCATCTGCAAGATCAAGGGTGAGTCTGATGGGTCAGGGGGTTTTACCAGCGAGAGAAGGTCAGTTCTTTGTTCATTCACTAAACCTGTTTCATTTGCATAACTAAAATGATACTGTAACTGGGGCACATGAATGGGAACAGAGCAGGGCATCCTTCCTTGTGGCAAGGCTAGCCAGGACTAGCATGACACCATTCATTCACTTGCGAAGAGGATGAATAGGTGGCATTTCACTGTGAGTCAGTACTAGCTACAGCTGTCATGTCACATACCCGATGCAATCCACCCTTAGCTCCACATTAAATTATCACCAAACACATCAGATTCGATCTGCAATCCATCCGTGCTCTCCAGGGATTCAGTCCTTGCCCAAGAATACCATACTCCTGAGTTCAGTCCAGTCACGTACACTGACTTCAGCCTATACTTAATTCGCATGAGACCCATCAGCTTCCAAAAATCTTTAACTTTGTACAACTAAGAAAAAATGAGTCCTGCATGAGACAGGGCTAGAGCTGTATGGTCTGAAGGTCAGTGCCGGAAAAGCTAGTTGAAGAAAGCACATTTTTACAGTGCTCAACTGTTGATATTCTCTTGACACTGCATCTCTTGGTGCCTGTGGGAGAGATTTGTTAATTTGGAAGGCATCTGTGTGGTGGTGTCAGACTTCAGGGGAGTTTTCAGCAACAGCACGATTATAAACAGCTTCAGCTGAAAAAAAAAACGTGAGAGGAAACTACTGTTTATCCCACCTCTGCTCACTTGTGAACCAGGCTTGGTCTGTGTTAGAGCTGTTCCACGTCTGGAGCCATTGTGTTTATTTGGTGCTGGAACAGTCAGGAAACCTGGCATTACATTAGGCTGCTGGACTGAATTGCCAGTTCACCAGCAGAGTATTTGAAATGCAAAATCATTTCTGGAATTAGGAAATTAGTATCCTCTCCCTGGCCAGGTCTTGCACTGCTGGCTTCAGCATATGCAGGGCTCTGGTGAGGGATGGGCTGGTGTTGAATTCTTTTGCCCCAGGCACAACTGTGTGTTTTCCTGCCCTGCCAGGAAGAAAGACCACCTGCCTTGGGTCATCACTTGCTTTATAGCCTGGGGAAGGGAAAAATTGAGAGCAATTCTGAGCTTTCCATCAGAATTCCTGAGTCACAAGGCAGAGCCTGAGCTCCACCCCAACAGACAGATCCCTCATCTCAAATCTGCATGAAGTGAGCTGCATCTTTAATAAGTCCTCTTCATGATTAGGGAGATCTATTTAACATGCTGGGGTTTCACTCTGTGCAGTGCAAAGCAGGATACCATCCACAGTGTGAGCAAAAGAGCAGGCACACAAGATTGCTGGGCTTTATTATTCACTAGCTGGTATGTGCAACTGTTAAAGCTATGTTTGCTCCCCCTCCCTAAAACAGCACGGCTGCCACCCTGGCTCCAGGCCATAGGAAGAATGAGCAGTGCTGTTCACTGAGCATCCGTGCCTCCTCCTGCAGAAGTGCTGGTTAACTCACCAGCTCCCCTAGGAAGAGTGTTCCTCAAGTGAATTCCTCTCCCTTTCTCACCACCTGGTAATGCCGAGGGGGGAATATTTCCAAAATGTTTCTAAAGAAGCACAAAGCATCAGGTCTCCAATTCTTCACTTCTTCCTTTGTGTGCCTGCTTTACTCGCCAGTGCTAGCTCAGGTTGAGGTTAGTAAGTTGTCTGGAGGTCGAGGAAGAGCTCTAACAACACTGTGTAGAGAGAAAAAGGGAAAAAAGATTCCTTAAGGAGTCTTATTTTTTTAATAGGGGATGTAGTCAAAACCTCACAAACACCATGGTCAAACCAAATCCTACAGGACATGACTGAGTCTTTAAATCTTCACTCTTATGAAGAGGGACTTTGCAGTTCAGCATCGGTACCATGCAACATCTTCATGGCATTTATCCTCCTGGGTCAGCCTCTGTGCCTTCCAGCTGGGCTGTGCAATCTCGGCCATTCCCACAGCCCTTGATCAGGAGCTCGGAGCATTTCAGTGTGCCTGCTGGAGCAACAAGCCATCCGTTTACATGGGTCAGTCATGGAGGACAGCAGGTCCCACAGGTCTCCATCATGCTGCTGTCATGTTCTGTCTAAGACAGAATGAGTCTTGCTGACATTGTATCTTCGAGGGCTAATGCCTACCCTCTGAAGGACAGACCTTCCCTGATAACCACTGCCTCACGGCACCACAACCAAGTCCTTTTATTGGCCCCATTGCTGGTTTTTGCCTGCCACATGCCCTGAGGCATTCCTCAACTCCGCAGCCCTGAAACTGCCCTTAGCCCTTTGCATTGTGTGATGTGCATCTGCTTCTAGCACAACCCTTTAGGGAGGGAGGGAAATGAATTTAAGTGTCACACCCAGTGCTTCCTGTAAATACAGACTGAAGCACAGGCCAAGTGTTTTTCCCTGTGCACAGGAGTTGTTTGCACAAATAGCTGGTTTGGCATGACAGTACAGGACCATAAAATGGCAATTTTTTGGCTTCTCCTCTCTATGCTTTGTGTTCATATATTTTATTAGGGGAATAAAGTAGAAAGGGTGGGGAAAAGTAGTTACCTGTGTAGGGTCATTATCAGGAAGGCTGAATGGATTAAGGCAATGCACTTGTGGCTATCATAGAAAATTGAACACTAACCCTTCTGAACTGCAGCCCCTTAAACAGGTTATGACCATGCGGCATGTTTGTTGGCTCGTTATGGAATGTGGTGGACAGCCCATCAGTATGTGTTAACCGCAGATTGGGCTTGCTCCCCCCATCTGGTCTCATGTTCACACCTTTGCTTCAGCCAGAAGGTTTTCCCCGCGCCCTCGTTGGGAGGTTACGCTGTGGTGCCTCTCTGGGAAGGTGCATAGATACATTGCCATTCTGGCACTGCTCTCCCTAGACCAGTCTCTGCTGCCATGGCCTGGAGAAGGCAAAAGCAAAGAGTACGGACCCTGACTCTCTGTCATGGCATTATAAAGTCCTAAAATCTGCATAGCTGCTGGGGACTCTCCTAAATGCAGATTGCATGCAAGAAAGCAAATTTTTCCTTGTTCCAGTCTTTGCACCAAACCAGATGGTCTTCTCAGGCCCCATTTTCAGTCCAAAGTTGTACAGAATATCAAGGGGAGAAGCACCATGGGGTATGAAAGGCTGCATCGCTATCCATCTAAATTACCACGCAAACAGGATTTAAGGATATTGATGCTGGTGCCTCCACAAAGGAATTTGCATTTGATGCCTCCTAAAGCCAGGCTGGCTTTTTGTTAGGTTTTTATGTAATTTTAGTCACCAAATTACCTGAATTTAAGCAAGTCCTTTCCTTTTATCAGATGTTAATTTTGCCCTTTAATATGAGCTGACTTTGAACTGCAGGGTCTCAGCACTCAGCTCTGTCTCTCCAGTCTGCAGACTTCCCATTTCCAGATGTCTGTGTGAGGAGGAACATCCTCCTAGTGTTGAGGAAGGTCTTTTGATAACGTGGTCTAGTCTGCATTTCTAGTGGTTGTGTAATAATAAACTTTGGCTGAAAGGAGGCTGATGTCCAGGTGACCATCCCAAAGGCTCATTTGATGTCTTATCAGCCATATCTTGAAGTCAACCCTGGCAAGAGAGTATCGTATCTGACACTGCATCTCTACATGTACGCTAGGCCATTGGGTCTGCTATGCTGTTCTGGCTGTCTTGCCTGCAGATGCCTTGTGGCTGCAAAAGCAGGCAGCCAAGCCTGCTGCATGGACTTTGAAAGGGACTTCAGGACACTCCCCCCTGGATAGGATGTACTCAGCTGCTTCTGCGTTTGCCTCTCCAGCTCCTTTCCCAAAAGGAGGCACCCGCTCTGCTCACCTGTGTGCTGGCTGACACACTGGTCTGCGATCCTGAGCAGAATCCTTTCCTCCCCGTGCAGACTCTGTCCTCGGGCTGGCCTGCCAGCTCTACAACAGCATGCAGGAGGCTTGAAAAGTACAGCACCCTGTATGTGACTCAACAGAAACATGAAGATGCTTTTGAAGAAAGGAAGGACCCAGCTGGGCACCAGATGGAATGACAGGAAAGGGAAAACAGGCAGTAACTAGAAAGGTTGCCAAGTGCTGTCTTGGCCTAGGGCAGATCCCAGTTGTCCGAATTAATCTATCTCAGTACAGTGCTGATACCAGCAGGAAGCAAAGCTGGCTTTCAGATGCACACACCAGAAACACTGTGTCCCCAGGCTGGCACCGCAGCCGAATACCACTGTGGAGAGTGTGCTGGACCTAGAGCACAGAAATGAGGTCTGGGGTCCCTTGCTGCTGTTGGCACGTGGTACACATTTGCTCTAACCTCAGGCAAGTCACATCCCCTCTTGATGTCCATTCCCTTCGGCAGCACAGGGAAGAAACCTGCCTTTCCAAGGTGCTACCACCACCCTGCATGAACATTGCCAAGTGTGTGGCAGGCACCATTAATAGGATAGCTCTTCAAGCAAGGTGCAAAAGGCATGCTGTAGAAATTTTATGCATATTTTCAAAGTACTACTCTGCTTTCCAGCTTGTGATGTTGCTTGCATGTGCCAGAAGGCTGTGGGGTGGAGGTTAGTAGGGAGATTAAACAGCTTTGGGGGAAGATGTTTGGCAAGGATCTATTTCCTTGTTATTTGGCAGCTGGCTCTCACACAATTGGTGTCTCAATCTGCCTGCTGCCACAAGGAACATGTAAGAAGATTTGGTGGTCCATCAGCACCATCCCCTGCTAGTAGAGTTAAGGAACTTAAGAGTGCAACTGGGATAGCAAGTGCTGGTGAGAGGGAAGAGAGCACTGAAGGGCTCATTTGGGATATTCCCCTGGCAGTTTTGTGCTCGTACTTTTAACATCCATATAATAATTTGAGGGTGTAAACTAGCACTTTTGCTTAGGTGCTTCCTTTCTTTTCTGTTCTCCCTTCAAGCTCACATGGAGGTATGGCCGCTCTTACCTAGAATGAAGGAGGCTTTGTCAGCTGGCTGCCACTTGGCTCAGCCAGCCCAGGCTGCATGTGCCACCAGGAATACACCCTGGCTTTCACCTCTACCACTCTTCAGAGCTGACTTATCACATCAGCCTCCTATTTCTACTTCTCATGTCTCAAAAGAAACATCTGCATAGATGGGCAGGGTCACAGGGCAAGCTGGGCTAGCTTGAGCCCAAGGGGAAGACACAGGAAGGTCTTCATTTTAAGGTGCTTTTCACCTCTAGGAGAACATTGCATCCTTGTCACTTCCTTCCAAGGCTTTCCTGTGAGAGGGGTTGCTCCAGACCTTGAACCACATCTCATCAGACAAACCTGCCTGTCTTACAGAGCCACACAAGGCCTGAAGCAGAAGGACTAGCAATTTAGTGTAGAGGGAGAGGTTGTGACCTGGGATTACCTACAGAAGATTAATGCAGGTTTCTCACAGGGGCTGGTATCTTTATTTTAGCTCCCTGTATTATGCAGTTGAGCTGCTGCATTGCGTCCAAAAAACTACAGCTACATCCCCTCCTTGGCCTCCCTTGACATTGGTGGCAATCCCAGGATCACAGCAGCTAAATGCTGCCTGGCTGAGCACTGCTTTGACAGCTTGCTGGGGAGGCAAAGGTTGGGGACTAATTGAGATTACGTGAAACAGAGCACCATGACCTATGGAACTGTGCAGCAATCTATGCCACAGAGCAGCACGGACACTGGCAGGACAGATTGCAGCTGTCCCTGGTGCCTTTGGAGAGCAGCTCTTCCCATTGCTTCCCAGATGCACTTGCCACTGGTGGTGGCTCTGAGCCTTGTTGTGCCTGGTCTGTGGAGCCATTTCCGAATTAACAAACAGTGATACAGGTGGTGGGATTGCATCAGTGAGTGGTAGGTACAAAAGAAGCCTCATTAAAATGTCTCAGATGTGTCACTGGAAACCAGCGCAGCAGGCACCAGGAAAAGAAAAGGCCACTGAAAGGCCATGCTGAGATAAGTCCCATTACCTGCCGAGATGTTTGCCCTCCTGGAGCAGCATTTCTCCCCTAGTTGCCCATCCAGCTGCCCCAGGTGAGCTCACTGGAAAGCACAGCTCTCCACCTGGGCTGCCTTCTTCTACATCTCAAAAAAAGCTGCGACTCCATTTGTTACCCACTTTCCTCAAGCCCACGTGATTTGGGAGATGTGAAGTTTGTTGGGAGATGTAACACAGATCCACAGAGGGAGCTGGAAAACTTGGACAAGCTCTCTTCACAACAGCCCTTCTGGTTTTTATCACCTTCATCTCCATCCCTGGCTTCCAGATTTCTTTGCTTAGTTTCTTTGCACGGAAAAGCTGCAGTAGGAGCTGTGTTTGGCTTGTAGCTGCCTCTGTCCTGAGACAAAACCAAGGCGGGAGATCCAACAACCATGATGGTGGGTGGGATGGAGAGCAGGTTGGGATTTCTCTTGACCCGCCTGAAGGCTGTGGGGC